GAGCTTTCAGCATTCAACTTAAGTTCTTTCTTTGTTATATATCCTACATAATCCATCAAACTTCATGGTTTACATTAGTTCAACTGCATTTCTTTAGAATATTCTCCACTACTTTTCAACACTGGCCTCACTCCATACTGACTTTCCCCTACAAGACCTAAGACTCATACGCCTCCTTATTGCTAAAACACTGGTAGTCTTTTCTCCTCTCTACTTAGAATTCCCCATCTCAAGTCTTATATTTTCTTTGAAGTGCTTTTGAAGACTCCAGGCAAAGTGAATTCTCATTATGTACCCACTGGTTTGGACATATAAATTCATACTTCACTGAGACTTTCATTAAGTATATTTTGTACAATTATGGTATCTTTTTTCTTTTTATTTCATAGATCTTATTACTTGACAAAAGTGAGGTTTCACATATTTCTGTCACTATTTAGGACACTTTGGAAAATATTATAGTTATTTAACAAGTGTTTATTAAAAGGAAATATACGGAAACAGAATTTGTTAGGATCATATCATAAGAGCTGACAATCATTTGTGTTTCATAATCTTTGAACAGTGCAGACATTTGTATGTGAACCCTTAAAGAAATGAGGTTTTTCAATGGTCTCCTTCATGCCACAGGCCTCTGGAATGTTCTCTCTCAGTGAAAAATATTGATGATAGGGATTTGGCTAGAAATACATATTATGAGATTTTTTTTTTCTCCCATGTCAAGGAGTGCCAAGCAATAAAATAAACAATATCCCTTTCATAAGAAACACACCCAAGTAAGAACACTGTAAAGAATTTGGAACATGCTTTTCTTTTGGCACTTGCCCAACTAAAATTGCTTAAAAAATAGCCAGGCAATTCATTTCTGATAAAGATCCCTTCTTTGGAAACCAGTGTGTGGTACACATACTCTTGTCTCAATGTGACTCCTAAAATATAATCATTCTATTTTAGAACAGAAATCACATTTTTTATTGCAGTATTTCTCTACATAATATACAAGTAAACAAGACTCATAGCCATTTGGAAAAGAGTCAAATGTGGCAGCTCCTTTTTATAAAAATAGCAGGAGGGGTTCACAAAGGTGCAACAACATAATACTGTATGCTGTGAGATAGGCTAAGGGTTTAATGAACTCCATTTTCCCAAGTGAATTATGTGCTACTTTTGTAAGGCACTGCCTTTTTTCAGGATGAAGCATCAACAGCAAAAGATGCAAGTCTGCTATCTATGTTTGTGTTCTTGTAAATATATCTCCCAAAATACTGGGATTTAATGAAAACAGTGCAACGTTTGATTGAGATGACAAACACTAAATTCAACTCAAGTCTTTACCTAAATATTTAGCCTTGCATGGAAATCACTAAATTAGGTTATATAGTCCATGGTTATTTGACACAGTAAGTTATATAAATAATCCACAGTGAAAATTTGCCAGTGTTGAAAAATTATTTTTTATATTCATCATTTTCTAATGTTATAGTGATTCAGGAATGAAACATTTATTAAGAATATTTTATGTAGCTAAATGACAGACTGCATTTAAGAAGCAAAAAACATATGGGTGAATCTTCAGGACTTTGAATTTGGCAAAGAGTCTTAGAAATAGGACCAAAAACCTGCTCAACAAAATTAAAAAAAAAAAAAACAGATAAATTAGAGTTAATCAAAATTAAAAATTTGTTCTACAAATGACACCATTAAGAAAGTCAAGGAAAAAGAAAAGAAAAATTTTAAATCATGAATCTAATAAGGCAATTGTATCTATAACATATAAAGAATGTTTCAATTCAATAACCAAAAGACATATGAGCCGATTTAAAAATGGGCAAAGGATCTATTTCTCCAAGGAAAATGTACAAATATAGAGACACATGAGAAATTGAGAAATTAGATAATAAATTAGAGAAATACAATCAAAACCATGACTGAATATCACGTTACACAATCGGGACAAGATAGAACACAAAAAGACAGATAAGTAACACTGAAGACATGGAGATATGAGAACTCTCATGACAAATGGATTTAAATTCTCCCGCCCTCCCCACGAGAACCTATTAAATGAGAGTGCAGAGAAGACACTCGAAATAATTGTAGCACAACTGAATAGCCTACAGGCTGTTCTGTTAGTTTTTACAAGTACTAAAGGAAATTGCTCTGTAGTGGCAAAGCCCTAAATGTTAGATTTAGTCTCTTCACTCCCTCTATCATTATTCTTTTTTAAAAAGATTTATTTATTTTTGCATACAAGAACTGGGGTACAGGCCGGAGGTGAGGGTGGAGGGAGTAAAAGGATTCCCCAGAGACAGAGTGGGGAGTAGAACAGGTGGATCTACCGAAATACTCTGCTGTGGGGAGACAGGAGAGGTCTGCGGCATCGTGTGGGTCACCTCCCTGGCGGGACGCAAACTCAGGCTGCAGTGGCTGCTGACAGCTTCACAGTACTGAACTTCAACCCCTTGTACCACCAGGGAGGCCCCCATATCACTTCTTTCTGTGGTGAAATGACCACTGGCATTTAAGTCATCTTACAGCTGCCATGTTAGAACATAAACACTCAGTGGCCGAAACAGCACAGTCACTTCATATGTGCTCAGCAGCCTCATGAGCTCTAATGTGGCATTAATTTCACACCATCACTTTCTGTCGTTTTTCCAACATGCAGACTGAGGGCTTTATTTGCAGATGATTCTGAAATGGGTTTCAGCAAATGCGAGTAGAAGTCAATAATATACCATGGAATGCTAGCTAGTTACTATTTATATGCTATCAGGACAGATATCGGTCAAAATTATCATACTGTTATACTACAAAGCAAGTTCATAGAGCTTTTTCTTTATATTGCTGTGTGCATGTGCGTGTGTGTGTGTGTGGTTGTGTTTGTATGTGTAGATGTTTTGATCCCTCTACAAAGCTTCAGGCAGGGTTTCCTCTTTTTGAACAGCCATTGTCACCTCTTGTCCCTTAATTGAAGTTTTACTCATCTTATCTCACACCGTCTTATCCAAAACAGCATTAGAAATGTTCTATTTAGAAGGTGATATGCTCATTGCGGTCAAAGCATTTTAACATATTTATAACAGTGAATGCCATAATTTTTCTTTTGGAGATTTATATTAAAAGAATCTTAAAACAGGGAAAGAACTGTGTAAATAAAGAAAGTCATGTTACCAACTGGGTTAGCTACAAAGCAGGGGTCATAAAATCAATGTCCGATAATGTGAGCAGGCCTCATAAGCAAATTATGACAGCTACTTGCTAAAAACATGAACCTATCCAAGCCATCAAAAACACGGGGAATACTGAACAGGTGTGGATGCTTAAACAACGATTTTATAATTTATAATTTTATAATTTATAGTTTATATCAGCCAATGTAGCATTAATTCCAGGGTGTTAAAAACAGAAGATTGGCTCCATTAAAAAAATATATTTATAGGCCCTCCCTGGTGGCACAGCGGGTTAAAGCACAACACTGAGAAACTAAAGCCACTTCCGCATGAGTTAGATTCCTGCCTGCCCCGGAGGTGACCCACCTGGAGCAGCAGACCTCTCCTGACCCGCTCGCTGCTCCCCTCAGCAGTGTACTTCCTCAATCTGCCTGTTCTGCTTCCCACTCTGTCTCTGGTAAAGGCTCTCACCACCCCTGAGCCTCTGGCCTATACCCCAGTTCTGTATGAACAAATAAATAAGTCTTTAATATATATATAGAGAGATAGATAGGTAGATAATATATTTGATAGATAAAGCATAAAGTGTAATTAAAACTGTGAGATTGGTAAGCTTGCCTTCTCTGGTGAACCTCTGCCAGTTTTTTACTCGATCTTTCTTTCTTTTTTTTTTAAAAGATTTATTTACTTATTCATACAGAACTGGGGTACAGGCCAGAGGCTCAGGGGCGGTAAGAGGATTCACCAGAGACAGAGTGGGGAACAGAACAGGCAGATCGACAAAGTACACTGCTGAGGGGAACAGCGGGTGTGTCAGGAGAGGTCCACACCACACCATGTGGTCACCTCCGGGGCAGGTGGGAATCAAACTCATGCGGAAGTGGCCTCAGCTTTTCAGTGCTGTGCTTTAACCCGCTGCTTCACCAGGGAGGGCCGATCTTTCTTTTATATCATTATTTCAATCTTCCCTTTGAGAGAATCTCCTATACAGCACAGATGGGAAATGGTGGCTACATTTTCCACACTCTGGTACAGACAGGTCATCTGAGGTTCAGTCATCTCAAGCTTTCTCCTAGGGCTTTGAGATTTGAGCTTATATGTAATATATGTTAGCTTATATGTAATATGTAAGTTAGTATGTGTGATTAATCTCAACAAGTGCATCAGATGGGCATCACAACTCAGCATGGACTTCATGATAGGTTTTGTTGATGTGGGTTCTGTTTGTCCCCCAACATCCAGAGGTCCTTTTGTTTTGTCTTCATCCCAATCTTTCCTTCTCACTGTAAGAAACCTTACTGATTTATAATCTAGCATGTTTTCTCATCTATTTTTACACATAGGACTTCACACAATAAAGTTACACTCAAATAATATGGTGGACAAAAATGTGCATAGACACCAATGAAGAAGAAATGTTACATTTAAGGAAAAGATTGCAGTGGACTAAGAGAAGTCAAAAGTTAATGAAAAATCAAAGAAACCAGAGAGTACTAGGTTATTAACTCAGCTTGAGGACGCAGGCAGTGAGAGCAAGTAACGTAGGTAGTTAAGCTCAGCAAAGCCTAAGCAGAGGTTGCTTTACGATTCTAGACAATAAAAACTCCCTCTTAGCCCTGTAGATTTTTAAGACTTAAGGGAGAAGGTCTCTGCTTCATTTCAACTTTGGTTTGTTTTTCTTTAATTAACGTGCCTGACATGTTGATGACATTTTTCTTTATATGCAAAAGGGCAGGGTTGTTATAAAAAGGGAGGGATGGCTAACGGACGCTTGCACAGACAAGCTGGCAGAGAGAGCTGCCCCCAGAAAGGGGCAGGATTGCTTTAAGTCCAGCCAGCGCAGGCACTGGTAGCACAGGACTGCTGCCCTTGGTGATATTTTTCTTCTCATTTTGGAAAGCACGGAGGTTTTCTGCTGTGACACCAGAGAGAGGTATGTGAAAAGAAGGACACAATGATCTTTTTGTTCTGTAACTGAAGCGCCTCAGTCTTACTGGAGAAAATGACACTAGGTAAAACTAAAGGACTCGAATGTGAGTTGTTTCTACTTTTTCACTATTATGGATATTGCTGCCATGGACATTCTATGTTTGAGTCTTTATATGAATACATATTTTCATTTTTCTTGGGGATTTATGAAGAACCGAGTTGCTAGGTTATATTCTAGGTCTAACGTTTGACGTTCTGAGAAACTACCAGATTATGTTAGCAGAAACGAAACACATTTTTTCTCGAGCCATGGAGAAGGTTTTTGTGCAGGGTGTTTCCCTCCCTGCTAGCACCCCCTCATCCAGAGCTTGGCCAGGCTGACGGCTCTGAGCAGCCGTCCCCGATAAATGCTCAGTCCAGGAGAACCAGCATGCAGTTCAGTTGGGAGATTTCAGCGACGGCTGTCCAATCTTTTGACTCCACAAAAGAATGGGTGTAGGGCCTGGGGCACTTTCTCATAGAGGAAATGAGGGGTCGAGCCTGTGCCAGGCTCCTGCCTTGTGTAGGGCGATCTTTCCCTGTCCATGCTTAACTGCACCTTTGCTCATCAAAGCAAAAGTCTGCATCAGTGACTTCCCAGCATGCTCCAGTCTTCATAGTTTAGATTGCACAGGGGAGGGGTGTGGTCCTTTTACTGTACCATAGGGGTAATTAAAGTTCAGTGTTCTTCCTGGGCTTCTGGGGTTGGGAGCAAGGGGTGCCGCTGGCCATGAGGGACCAACACACACAAGTGGAGTTGCTGTCTCTCGTCCTGAGAGTGAAAGTGTTGTTCCACCCAGTTATCGACTTTGTGTTTCCTTGGCAACGCTGACACCAAGGCACTGTGGGCTGGTGTGTTTGGGCCTCTGCTCCTGCTGAGGGGGATTCTGATTATTGTGCTGTCCTCCGTGCAACTGGGAGATTTCAGCTCTTAATACCAATAGATTGTTCTCTCTGTGGGATCCTGGGAAGTCCCTGCCTATCACTATAGCACTACATGTCCTTCGATCAATACAACCCTAACCTCCAGTTCCCTGTTTTCAATTTTTCTGAAATTTTCTGATTTTTGTTTTGTTTTGTTTGGGGGGTGAGGGGGAGAGGATCAAGAAGATCAAAGCATCCAATGCAAAAGCATCATCCTACCTGGTCAGGCTCAGAGGAAAAATATATTGAGACAATCTAATCCCTATATCACCATGGACCATTTTAAGGATATGATTCCAGAAGTGGACAGTGTTGATTCCTTTGGCTACTGGCTTGACACTGAGCATGAGCTGGTTATAATTGAATTAACCCTATGTCCCCCACCCCCCATGTCACTACAATCCTTGTGAGCTTTTCTCTCTCTGCTTTGTCCCAAACAACTTTACTCCTCCTCACTAGAGAGTGGAAATCTGGCTTTCTAGTCCATGCAGAGAACAGAGAGAAAAACAAGAGGGCCAGATGCACACAGTTGGACCCTCAGACTTTCAAGAGATTTACCGAAACTCTCCTGGGTAAATAATGAAAGCAGGAAGCTATCATTTCATTAAGGCTTTGGAGACAACAAACCTCCTTCACAACACTATAAAAGGCTGGGTATAAAAGGGAGTGTGAACAATAGCATAAATGATCTGAGGCAACAGCAAATATTAACTAGTGAGACCTTGAGTGGAAAGTTAACATTCCAGCAGAGACCAGCCTCAGAAGAGAGCGGGTGAGGCACTTCAAAACACACTTGTGCAAACTGGTCAAGGAAAAATCCAGAGACAGTAAGGTTGGCCACCAATTCAAAGCAAGAAGAAATGGGACTTTATATCTGCCGCTGTCCTCTTATCCAACTCCATGTTCTTTATTTTGTGTGGCATGAAAATAGGACTTGACATAGACTGTAAAGGAACAGAAATACTGAAGGAATTATGTGGCACAGGCCCCTTAGAGGGATGCTGAGGAGACCTTGGGGATTTCAGAACCTTTTATCATATTGAGAGGTGCCAAGGAAAAGAAGAAATGAAACTAAATCAGTGGTCTCACTGTCTTCTTTAGTGTGGGGATTTTGAATGCTGTTTTCCTTCGTCATTTGGAGTGTGGGAACTTTGGTTTACAGCGCTGTGTGTGAGGCATCAGCTGCCACTTCCCATATGCATCACCACATCACACCACCATACTACACCCTCCCTCCCCCAGCCTGTTCTGCCCCCTCCCTGTTTTCCCCTCCCCCAGCATTACTATATTGTCTCGATGACTGTAGCAAAAAATGTAATATTAACCTCAGAAAGTGCATGCATGTGTGTGTGTGTGTATGAATGGGTGCATGTGTGTGATTTGTCACACTATAGAATGTCAACTTTGAGGTACCTAAGTTTCTGGAGATAACTTATAGTAAAAGTGGGAATTTCTGGCTTGTGAATATTTTGTAGTCTTATATTGGGGTAAGCTACACTAGAGTTTGGCTGATTTGATTTATGTTCTCCCTGGATCTGTTGAATCTAAAAGGATGAATTGTTTGGTCAAGACCCAGCACAACAGGGTGATTTATAGATATTTCTAATACTCAGTGGAATCATGATCAAAGGCTTCATCAAATATTTTATCAGGCAACTATTAACTTTTATTTTTCAAATAAAATTATACAATTTATTTTATGAGTTCTAGTTTAGCTATGTTATCACAATCATTTTTTTAAAATGGAAGAAAAAATATAAAAGGGAAAAAATCTAATTGTATTCACAGTTTTTATACTGAGTGTTAATCATGCTCCATTGCTGAATTTCCCTCTTATTTTTCATGTTTGAACATCTATTTTTAAAAATTTGCAATCAATATATTTGTGTAAATTTTCCCTTCTTGACCCTGTTTCAGAATGAATCAATAGACTAGAAGCTTATAAAAGTAGGTATATTTGTTATTTGATACATCTTACCAAATTTCTCTAAAAGTTTACTCCATTACTGAAATTACATAGTTACTAGTTTAAAAATTTTGATTTTAATGCTAGCAAACCAATGATAATAGATAATAAGATGGTAACATATAGTAGATAATTTGTTAAATAGTTGTAAACATGAAAAAAAGTGTGAATATGGAATTGAATTACTTCCATTGCTTAAGTTTATGTCACTTTGCACAACCTTATTTTGATGCCAAATGGGTGAGAACATAGTTCAAAAGAAGAAAAATATGCAGCATTGACTTCATCATCGTGATTTGTGTGACTCACTTATAATCTTTTTAGGTTAATGCCAATGCTAGAAATTTGAGAAAAAGTAATTTACATGAGCTCACAAGTGTTTGGGAACATTCAAACAAGTATTTCTTTTGAAAACCATTAGTAGGTTATTACTCTTAACAAGTTGAGTGTGCCAACCTGAGTCTCACTTCTGGACCAAAGACGCCAGTCCTCTCTAACTTAAGCAGTGAAAAGACAATAGTTATTATTGTTATGCCAGAGGCATGATTAAAATTTGAAAATGTCACATTTTCTTTCTCTCAGATTGAAAACAAGTCTTCAACAATAATTAGTCTATTTTAAGTCATGGACTCTCATTAAGTCTGAAAGGAATGGGAGCTCTCAATTCTTTGAAATATTAAAGTAGACATTATCTAATCAGAAAACAAAATGTTCCTGAGCCTCTTTTATTTCTTCAATATGCTAGGTTATGATCAAAGAGCTAAGATTAGAATTAAATGGCAAAATAACACCGTAAGAATCTCATCTAGCATCATAATCAACCTAGGCACAGAAACTGTGATCTACTCTATTTTTTTTTTGTTTTGTTTTGTTTTAGTGAAACAAGTGTTTATGATATGCTAACTGGATGTCAAGTAGTTCTAAGGTTTTGAGAATGAGAAAATTATACAAGACCCTGCCCTAGAGTTCCTCATCATCTAGTAAGAATCCTACCCTAGACTAAGCAACTACAAGCCAATGTCAGGTGGATAAAGCTCATTTAGTGGGATAAACAGGTCGAGGCCCAGAGGAGACGTTCAGGCTGAGATTGGGTCCTGCGTCCTATATTCGAGGCACCTTAGCAAAGTCTTAAAGGATCTCATCCCAATAACGTTAATCCAAGCTTGGGAGTGGAATGAAAAATGAAAAGATTCTAAAGAGTTGAGCTTGGAAATAGAATGCCATGGTAGGGACTGAATGACGCACAGTCCCAGTCTTCCAGGGACACTGTCTGGAGAGACATCAAAGGACAAGCTGGGGACAGCATGACTGACATGATGTTGAGCTGCAGATTATCTGATGGATCTAAAAAGCCCATGCCTGCCATTGCCATTCAGAGATTGTGGGTGTTGACTTCAAACAAGATGTAGATGGGCAGACAATTCATAACATATATATGTTGTATATTTTTACTTCAGTAATTACGTCTAGTCATTTGGATAAAGGGACTAATTCTTTAATTAAGATCATCAATAAATAAAAATATACTTGCATTGCCCAGCAATATTTCAGACAAGACTCAAAAATCTTTGTGCTTTAATACTACAGATAACTGCACTAAAAATAAAACAACTAAACCTCAAATACATGCCTGTGGCATGAAAGTGGAACCATCTTATGACTAATTGTTCATCCTGAAAATTAAGGAATGTTTAATCTTAAAAATGTACCTGTGCACAAAAATGTATCAGCATATAGACCAACACAAAAATATAAAAGATAAGATATAAAAATAATAAAATGAAAAATGAAGATAAGATAGTTCTTCAGAGAATTATTGAAAAGAATGAATTAGGGAAAATCAAATCAACTCAACTCCAGAAGTGGCATTTACAATACAGAATTAATGAAGAGCTATTGTGCGCAGACTGGAAATGTCACTGCATATGTCTCATTTTCCAACACAGACAGAATTTTTTAGAAATGCCGTTACCACCTCCTGTAAATGCCATAACTCCACAAGCTCCTGTGGAAACCAGAACAAGCTTTGCGCAAAGTTGACTCCAGAGAAAGGTGAGGTCCTGGAGATCAAACAG